CATTTTGAGCTTGGCCTGAACTATTAAGATATTACATAAGTGAGAGACATCTGAAGAGAGTTCTAAGCATAAGAGGACAAAGTCATCTCTGACCTGGCTTCGTAGTTTAGTCGCAGGCAGATGAAACACCAAATTATTATGCTAACCACTTCTCCGTGTCAAACTCAAAACATGAATCCAGAATGACAAATGCCACCACCTTCTACCGTGAGTCATCAGAGTCTAATTGGCAAATGCATAAATTTCTCTATTTCAACAAATCATGTTCTATTCTTCTAAGTGATATCTCCTTATTGAAATAATATGTTTTTCTTGAAAGCCACCAAACAAAGCCCACTGTGAGACAGGCCATTATCATGTGTGGCAACAGAAAGGCTGAAACGGTTTGTTCTTAATGATAAGATCAGCAGCCACATTGCTGAATGAATGAGGGATGACTGTTATTATGGTCCCTCTCTAACCTTGAGAAAGGTTTAAGAGCTGAGAATCTTTTATTGCCTTTTCTACATTTTTCTCACAGTGTCAACCAACATTCAGATTATGACTTGTGCTTTCACAGTTTGACATAACAAATATAGAAAGCCATGTCATTTTCTTTGGCTGTATTGAACAGATGTTGCTGTTGATGTTGCTGTAGCATGAAACAAGACACCGCTTACTATGCCTGGGTACTAGACCACACTTCAGTTAGAGACATGCTCATGCAAAGAAATTGAGTTTTTTTTTCCACTGCTGACCACAAAAAGACCAGTGAATGGTAAAAGTGTGGCAGTTTTCTTGTAGCAACATTCATACACTTTTAAAAAGACCAATCAGATGGAACAAGTTTAAGAGCATGTGGGTCTGCCTGTCAGCTGTATCTAAATGAACACACACAAGCTATAACAATTTATATACATGTATCAAACTCAACTGACAATATGTTGCTTAATTACAAAAGCAATACATGATAAGTTTTTGTTGTTTTCATTCTCACTCAGATGTGATTATGTCTTCGGTCAGCTCTCTGTAACATACATTGGAAGGAGAGAACAAAAATAAACAAACTGTTTCCAAATGAGAATGAATATCTTTGAAAAGAAACTATTAATAAACTATTAATAAATTATTATAAATTATTGTCTCTGGTGGAAAAAGTGTTAATTCCACTTTGGCATTTTGGCAGTGTCATTTTGTACAGGTTTTATTTAGAGTTTTGGGGTGATTACAACTCACAAACTCTATAAAGTTCATTCATGTGTCATAGCATGTGAATGTATCTAACATCCTGCTGGGGATGTAAGGATGGAAAAGATCACTGATATATGTTGGTGCTGTTTCCATGCAGGGCCCTGAATGTCAGAGTGATAAGGTATGGGAGTACTTAGAAGACTTGGGCAGAAGCTTTGCTGCAGTGTTCTGAACAACTTGCAGATGCTGCAAAGAGGTTTTACATAAACAAGTAAACAAAGAATTACAATAATCCAGACGAGATGAGACAAATGCTTGTATGACATTTTCCAATACAATGCAGCTGATACAATGGAACTCAGCTTAGCAATATTTCTCAAGTGATAAAAACAGGAGTGGACCAGAGATTTAGCACAAAGGTCCAAAGTCAGAGCTGAGTCAGAC